TACTCTACAGAATGAAGTTTAAAATTTCTGTTAACCATTTCCCAAATGCATTTTCCAAAACGGTGTTTTTCTAAAAACACATAGAATACACTGTGTACTTATAATACAACAGAAAAGTACTCATGAATAAAAAGTGTTATCAAAACTGAATAAAAATTACCCACACATAAGAAATATGGGAACTAATTTAAAAAGAACCCATGGATTCTGTGATCACCATTTCTGTAAAATTTCATAAGGACAGACCTAACCTCTTGATTTACATATCACCCAAGGCAGTTTTGCACTGCTGCAGCAAAGGGACATGACCCTCACAACTTAAAATATGCATGATCTGGACCTTTAAAGAAAAAAAGAAAATCAATGACAAGGTATTGTCATGCTAAGAGGGATCACTGATGATGGTCACAAGGGCCCTTTGCAATTTACAGGTGGGTTTTCTTTGCTGAATGATTTCTTCTTTGGAATTTAAAAAACTTATTACAAGAAACAAAAAGAACTTGGGTAGATTTTTAGCACAATGAACCTAGACAAGGTTCTGTGAACTAGAAGATGAAATAGAAATCACTTAATCTGAAGAGAAAAAAATATTGTCAAAAATATTAAGGCTTGTAAAAGAATATGGAAAGGTAAAATATTAACTGTCCAGAGGACAAAAGAGATTACCAATTCAAGAATATCTGACAGAGCAGTTCTCAGAAGAAAGACAACTAACAGGCATAAAGGTCTTACATATCAATAAAAATAAACGATGGCATTGTTCCTTTAGGTATCAGGCCCCAACTCAATTATCTTAAGAGTTACTTCAATATTTTATATGCATGTGTGGGCCTGAGGGTATGTATTCCTACTACATACATGCAGTTTGTGGAGGCCAGAAAAGGCCATCAGAATCTCTGTAACTAGAGTTACAGGCATTTGGGAGTTGAAATCTACTGAGTCTTCTGTGAGAGTACCAAATTGCTCTTAACTGCTGAGCTATCTCTTCAGCGCTTCAATTATTTTAATGTTGTCTCTAAAGAGAACTCACGTGGGTTTACATTTTTAAACAACCAAGCAGAACCACTTAACACCACCTATTCTTGATTTTGCCAGCTTTTGCCCTAACATGTGGAAATTTAACAACATATGTACCTGAAGGCATTACCTTGTAGTCTCTTAACAGAAAGTCACTGGGACTCTTTAAGTTAGTAGTAACTTTTTTTTTTCCAAGCAATTCATCGACTTATTACTAAGAACTAAGAAGAAAATACCTTTTGGCAACTGTAGTTATTTCTTTGGGTAATTAAGTGGGATAGCCTTATGTGCTCCTCTATCTACCTCTTAAAAATATTTTAATAATTATTTTTTTAAATTATGTACCTCTGTGTGTGCAGGTAATTGCAGGTGCCAGCATAGGCCAGAGGCATTGCATAACCTGGAGTTAAGAGTTACAGGTGGGGGCTGGAGAGATGGCTCAGCAGTTAAGAGGGCTGACTGCTCTTGCAGAGGACTCAGGTTCGAGTCCCAGGACCCACATGGCAGCTATGAACCATCCTTAACTCCAGTTCCAGGGGAATCCAAAGCCCTCTTCTGACTTCCGAGGCACTGCATGACACAGGTGCAATCACATACAAGCAGGCAATACACGCATACACATAAAATAAAAATAATAAATTAAAAATAAAAAAGTTACAGGTGAATGTAAGTCACCTGAAGTAGGTAGGTACTGGGAATGAACTCAGGTTCCCTGTTAAGAACAATATTTGCCCTTAACCACTGAGTCATCTGTTTTGCCCCAACCCCCATTTATAGTATATACTTCTTAAATTAATAAAAAGCCTATAGTTTTAAGAAAAGAAATAAATGAAGGGGGGAAAAACAGGAAATATTAGACTTCAACATTCCTATCTCATAACCTATAAAAATGAGACCCCCCCCCCCAAACAACAACAAAAAACCAGCAGGAAATGGAAAACCAGCAAAATACTATCAAGTTTACTCTAAATGACAATTATAGAACACTTCACGCACTTCACAGAGCCAGCCACAGTAGGATATAGGATTCTTCTAAGTACTTTTGGAAAGGTCGTTCATATATTGAACCACAAAAATTATAAGAAATTTAAAGGAATTAATATAAAATGCTTTAAAAATATAGTTATGAATCAATGTAACAGATTTCTGAAAATTTCAAGTCAAGTCTGAAAAATTTTGGGAAACAATTAAAAATAATCCATACATAAAGAAGACAATCAAAAAAGAAACCACAGGGCTGGGCGTCGTGGCCCATGCCTTCATAGAGAGTTCCATGGCAGCTGGGGCTGTAAGGAGAACCTGTCTCAAAAACAAAAAAACAAAACAAAACCACAGAATTATACATTGAAACTAAAAAAACATAAAGAGTTTTAGGATCAACTAAAGCAGTGATTAGTAAGAAATGTATGAAGAAAATGTTTAGATTAAAAAAAATATTTTGTTTATTATTTTTATTTTATGTGTATGTGTATATTGCCTGCATGTAGGTAAGTGCATCCGTGTCATGCAATGCCCGCGGAGGACAGAAGAGGCTATCGGATCCCCTAGAACTGGAGTTACAGACAGTTGTTAGCTTCCATGTGGGTTTTTAAAAAAGGCCTTGAATCAGTGACATAAAACAATGAATACAGGGAAATGATTTCTTGTTTTGTTTTGTTTCTATGAGAAAGGTCTCCATGAAGCCCCAGCTAGTCTGAAACTCAATATGTAGACTAGAATGCCCTTGATCTCACAGGCCTTCAAGGCATGAGCCATCACACTCAGCTTTTCAGTGAAATGATTTTTGATAAGGGCTCCTAGGTATATTCAACTGGGAAAGAACAATCTTTTTGGTAAACCATGCTAGAAAATCTGGACATCCATGTGTTAAATAATAAAGTTGTGCTCCTATCACATTAAATTTAAAATGGACCAAAGACTCAAATATAAGAGTTAAAAGCAACAAAACTCATGGAAGAAAATGTAGAAGAAAAGCTTTGTAACACTAAATTTGGCAGTAATTTCTCAGATACGCCATTAAAGCCAGAGTCAACAAAAGAAACAAACAGGTCTCCATAACAATTTAAAAAATACATCAAATATTATCAAAACTGTAAAAAGGCAACACATAAGAGAAAATATTTTCAAATCACATATCTGGTTAATACCCAGAATATATAGACAACTCTCATCTTAAGCAAAAACAAACGGGAAAAAATGAAAAGTTTGACTAAACAAAAGAGACTTGGACAGATAATTCGTCAAAGATGATACATGAATAGCCAATATAGCCATAAAAAAAGATGTACAAGGGGCTGGAAAGATTGCTCAGTGGTTAAAAGCACTGGCTGCTCTTGCAGAGGACCCAGGTTCAGTTCCCAGCAACCACATGGCAGCTAACAGCCATCTGTAACTTCAGTTCCAGGGCACCCAATGCCCTCTTTTGGCTGCAACAGGCACTGTGGGACATGGATGCTCTTACATACATGCAGGCAAATACTCATATACATAAAATGTAAATAAACAAATAAATAAACAAGAAAAAAATGTTCAAGGATACCAGTAAGTTGGGCCGTTGGGCCGGGAGAAAGAAAGCAAGTCTTGACAAAGAACGGGGGAAAACAAAATACTTCAGGCAGTTCTAATGGGAATCTAACACGGTATAGCAGCTACGGAAGAGTGAAATAGTCCCACAAAAAACCTATAGATTACCACATAATATGGCAATTTCATTTCTGAGAATAATTGAAAGAAGTTAAAACAAAGACTTAGAGATTTTTGTATACTTGTGTATGCAGTAACACTGTTCACTCAAACGGCGACTTATTTATTTAAAAAGGTAAGGGAAAAAAGCATAGCATGATGTGAAATAAAGGTTCCAATGCTTGAGCTACTCATATTTAGCCACCAGTCTGGAAGTTACACACGAGAGAGAGAGAGAGAGAGAGAGAGAGAGAGAGAGAGAGAGACAGAGAGAGAGAGACAGAGAGAGAGAGAGAGAGGAGAGAAAGGAGAAAATAAATTATACCGTGCTTTTCTAAAAAGTAATTTGTGAAGATTTATTTCATTTTTATTTGTGTGCATGTGTGTGGCTGTCTCTGTATGTGTAAGGATGCCCATGGAGGCCAAAAGAGTGTTGAACTTCTTAGAGTTGGAGTTATAGGTGGTTGTGAGTTGCCCAATGTGGGTGCTGGGAACCAAACTCTGGTCCTCTGGAAAAGGATCATGCACTGCTGAGCCACCTGTGTAACCCTTTAAGATTGTTCTTAAGGTAAGGTAATTTAAGGTTAAAAAAAAATCTGTATACACTGCATTATAAACCTAATGGTGACAAGAACTGTACTAAAAGAGTAATATAAACAGTAAAGATGGATTAAACAAGAAAATCAGAAAAGGTAAATTAAATTGGCAAAAGAAATATACAAAATTTGCCTTGAAATATTATAAACATCGTAAGGCTAGTATAATTCTGAATATAGAAATTTCTAAATAATTGAGGGAATAAAATTCACTAGATGGTACCTCTAGAAGATCTGGTTAAAAGATGACAGGAGGGGCTGGATAGACAGCTCAGCAGTTAAAAGTGTTCACTGCACATCTTTGGAGAAAAGTTCTGATCCTAGTACCCAAGATAACAAACCAGGTGTCCTCCTAATGCCAATAACTCCTGCTCTACAGGGATTTGATGTCCATTTCTGACCTCTGCACACCCACATGTGCATGTGTATATATATTCACAAAGACACATATGAACATGAAAATAATTAAACTAAATATTTTTTAAAATGCCAGCAAACTCAGATGACATTATGTGACACAAATCCAGAAAATATAATTAAGATGTAGTATATTAATGTTTCCTTGACTGATTTCTGGGCTCAGATCATTTTGAAATAATTATTAATCACAAAGGACTACCATGTGTTTCAACCAATACTTGTGCATCTGGCCCAAAAAGGAGGTAGGGGGAGTGGGAAGTACTGAGGATGAAATAGAAATAGTACCTTTTGCATCATCAGAACCTGAAGCCAAAAGTTTAGGATCCATCAAATTAAAGTCAACACTCCAACACCTTTTCTCATGCTCCTTGGTATAGAAGGAAAAAAAAAAAAAAGAAAAGATACCAATTTATTGCCATGGGGGTAGTAGAGCAGACTGCAAACAAAAGGCAAAGATACTCATGTAGAGCTTTACACTCAATAAATTAATACTTCTGTCAATTTATCTGATATACTCTTAAAAAAAAAGTATGAACAAATCCTTTAGAAAAGCATTTGGTACCACATAGTTATTATAGGTGTAAAATAACTAAATAGTGGTTTAAATGTTTTAATCATAAAGCACAGGAACATCAAATGTAATTGGTGTAAGATATAATAAGTACCCTTATTTACCTGATAGACCTTTGACCTTTGTCCTGTGAAGCCATCCCATAGTATAACAGTGCCTTCATAATCACTGCTGGCTAGCAGATTCTTATGGTAACTACTCCAACTGATACAGCTAAATGAAAGAAAAGTTAAAACTTACATGTAAGTAAGTAACAACGGGGCCTAATGAATTTTAAGGTGTTCAGAAAGATGAATACTCTTTAAAGTGCTTTACATCAATTCATAATCATTACTGATCACAGAACAGTCATACAGAGCTAGTAATACCTATTTTTTTTTATTGGTAGTAAATGGTCTAATACTGATGCTGCCCCTGGTCATCTTCGCTTTATGAGAAAAGCATGGCTATTAGTGAAGACGACAAAGGTCCATGTGGCTCAGAGAATGCTACAGCACAAGGGGAGAGAGGCTAAGATTGTTATGCCCTCTTTATTCGGCTGTACCAAATCATAAGTCAAATAGGTGAGTTTTAATTGGAGTTCTGTGCTTGTATTCAAAAAGTTTTGACCAATATAACTTATGATTCAAATTCCAGTTAAAAGCACCCAATAAAATTAAAATTTTAACAGTAATGATTTTAGCTACTCTTTAAAAGTTTATATCTAGCCAGGTGTGGTGGCACATGCCTTTAATCCCAGCACTCGGGGGGCAGAGGCAGGCAGTTCTGTGAGTTCAAGGCCAGCCTGGTCTACATAAGTGAGTTCCAGGACAGGTGGGGCTACAGGGAGACCCTGTCTCAAAGACCCACCCCCCCCAAAAAAAAGTTTATATCTAAACTCTAAGGTATTGAAGAGACACATACATATCTATATCTAAATGATGCATAGTAAAGTACATGTATATTAAGGAAGGAGGCACTGAGAAAGTAGTAACATCTAAGTACGCACTTTGCTCTCTACTTGGATTCACAGTAAAATTTAAGGTTATGGGGGCGATCATTTTTGCTTTTAAATATATTTGATTTTCTAATGGAAATTATACAAAACAGGTATATTTTGGACACAGACAGACCTGTGCTCTAATTCCAGATCTGCCATTTGATAGCTCTAGTTAACTTGTATACTTTTGGCCAACTCATATATGCTTAGGTGTTGGTCCTTTCAGCCCATAGGTTTTGGCCTTGAGCAGTTTTGGCTATTTCCTGTAATGTATCATAAAGTAATATATATATGTATTTTTACAAGTATCATGTCAGAGCAGGAAGTAGCATATTTAATCTCTATATTTCATCAAAGTCTGCTGAGTATATTACTGGAATATTTAAAAAGTACAATCTTACACAACATGCACTCTATTATGGCTCCATGCTATGAAGAGCACACAGTCTCTAGAATTAAACTCTCTCAATCTGAACTCTGGCTCCTCTATATATGAGCTAGATAATCTCAGTCAAGTTATTTACCTTTCCTGTTTCAGTGTCCTTGTGTGTTAAATGGGAGCAATAATGGCAACCATCTCATACAATTATTAAAGATAAAGCGCTTAAGAAAATCTCTGCCACATAAGAATCCAATAGATGCATGTTTTGTAGTATAGTCTCTACTTAAGAGATAAATGATAGAAGATTTTCAAGTATGAGTGCCACTGATAAATGGGTAGACTCATAAATTATCATAGTACAGCATTTTGTGGATGAATTAGAATTAGAAAACAAAAAGGAAAGTCTAATAAGTTTTTATTAGTTGACTGATTTCAAGTTGAAACTAGTACTCAGGTGCTCCTAAGAATACCTAGGGATGTGTTCTTCTTGGAAGGTAAGGAAAGGAGGGAGGGGGCAAAGAAACAAAAGGAAAAGGCCGAGTTTGGAATTCTCGGTATCAGTTCCTACATCTTAAACAGTATTTGAGATTTGAAAAGCAAATCTGCTATGAACTGTAACTCCTAATAAATGAATTTAAGTACTATTTCTTTAATGGAAAGCAAAATATTTGTGTGAGAAGAATTTTTTAAAACTAGAAATAATTGTATTTAGAGACATGTGCATGCTATGAGAATTATTTCTGATTTTCAGACACTATTCATAGGCAATAATAAATGCTAATCCCAACAGGGGGAAAGCAGGTAACATCTATAGGAAAATTATTAATCTGTTTTAAGTCAGTATGGTATCCTCTGTATGCACAATTATTAGATTCACTATGAATGAATAAGGAGTCCCATGAAGACTGAAATAACTTCATAAGCATCACATAGACTGCTATATACATACCCCACCATGACAAGAAAATAATATAATACCTGATTTTGGAATTGCAGGTCATTTCATTCTCAGGGTAATGAATATCCACTGCATCCTGGATGACTGTGCCATATTCATAGACTTTAATCTTCTTTGTAACCCCAGCAATTGCAAAATAGTCGCAATCCCGGTCAAATTCAATACTAATGAGGAAAAAAGCATAGACCTGATATGTGAGACTATATATCTAAACCTATACTATTATTGCAGCAACACTTCAGGGTTAGGTGTTTTCTTCTTATTTTCCTTTATGCCCCTAGTGGTAGGGCTTGAACTCTGGGCATATACACATGCTAGGCCAGCATTATACCAATGAGCTTTGCCCCTACCTGGTATTTTCTATTTTTAAAGAGATTCTGTTTGTAGAGATAAGACAGCGTTTTGAAATACCTTCAAATTGTGATAAACCACATGTACAGAATAAGCTACCAAGACATCAAATTATAAGTATTAGGGACCGGTATATATCTGTATCTGCGTAGCAATGTACTTTTGTTTCCAGGCACCTGGAATATTTTTCAGTTCAGATCTAATAACCACATCACAACTAATGAAGGATAATTTAACGATCTGAAATATTACAAATGTCAAAAGAAAATTACCAATTAATTTTATTCATAAATTCTTGTTATTTCTCTTCTTTTGGGGGCACTGAATATTAATGTAATAAATAAGTGTATAAGCAGAATTACTGAACTAATTGGGTGGTGACAATGGGATAGAATACACACACAAGTGGAGAAACTAAATTACCATTATTTTCCCCCAACTTTATCCCATTATTCTCAAAACAAATATCATCTCTCTGAATCACAAATCCCCAACACACATTCCTTATTCCACAAGCAGGGAACATCATAAGGATCCTCTCTCCTTTTACAATACATAGGGAATTCACTCCTCTCTTACTGACTTCTTTTAAATACAAATTTCAAAATAAGCTGCCTCAATGCAAAGCACAAGGTCTTGATGTCACTTTTGTAGAATTTAACTTGGAGCCTCAAAGCTGTTATTTTACAAGGTAGAAATCAAATTTGCCTAATGGAAGTAAAAATTGCAATGAATCACCATATGTATTACTTTTCAATATGAATTAAGTATTCTTCCTAGAGGTTTAGCTGTAAATCCCAGAGAATATTTAAGAATTCTGACTTACAAAACAAACCTCTTGTGGGCAAATAAAACTGTAAAGTGTAAAGCTTACAGACTTTAATCCTAACCAAAACTGTATGTCTTCTGAATCTCTGTATTCTTAGCACCAAATGAGTAGGTATGCTGCATATATCAGGCATCAATTAAATGCATATAAATGAACACCTACATTACATACTTTTGCAAATACACCTACATTATGTTGTGAGACTTAAAACCTAATAAAATTGTATGCCTTCTGTATCTCTGTATTCTTCCCACCAAATGAGTAGATATACTGCATATATCAGGCATCAATTGAATGCATATAAATGAACACCTACATCACATTTTTTTTGGGGGGGGGCTCTTTTTGAGACAGGGTCTCCCTGTAGCCCCAGCTGTCCTCGAACTCACTATGTAGACCAGGCTGGCCTTGAACTCACACAGATCTGCCTGCCTCTGCCTCCCAAGTGCTGGGAATAAAGGTGTGCGCCACCACACCCAGCCTCACATACTTTTACAAATACCTAACGTCTGTGAGCGAGTATGTGTGTATGCTGGGGATGCTAGGTAGATGATATATTTGATGGATTACCTGTCATAGTCTTTTCTGGAATAATTACTGCTTAGTTAATAATTTAGCAAGAAGCTTATCAAGCTAATGGTTATTAAGAAAGATAAATATTCATTACTTTTCTTAAAGACACATTAAATACTTTTCATTATTCCTTCAAATCTTTCATTAATTTTGTTAAGTTTTACAGGAATTTTCAGTTAAGTGTCACTGACTATAGCACAATGCATCAAATACTTCTTCCAATAAAAATGATTATGTACAAATGCAATAGATTTGTACAGTACTATTAATTGAACAGTTTCCTCAGCTACCATTTCCTAAGTTATGGATTCTAACAGCATAATTATACTAATGACAACTATTCATCTATCCCAACCAAAGGCATACAGCTTTATATCACAGAAGAAGTGGTATAGTATCTAGTAGATGACAGCAATTAGAACTGAAATCTGATCTTTAACAGAGCTTTAGGTATGCAATCTTTAAATACTTTACCTATAAACATGTATCACTAAGAAATCAACAATATTCTGATGTATGAGTAAAAGCATGCCATTAAGAACTGAGTCACTGGCAAACTACCAGTTTTTAAAATAGGAAGTTTAAACTCTAATCTATTAATAGTTTGAAAACATTATAGGAAAAGACTGACACAAAAGATCTAATATAATGACCCATATAAGCATTTGTTAACAACTTGTTATTCCAGACATAATTTCACCTTTTGCAACATAGGTAATTATTTGGCTACGTTAACTTATTCTTGGCCCCAATGTTGGAAAGTTAACTTTGTGTTTTTGCTTCAATGCTATGATTTTCTTCCATTTTGGTTATTTAAAAAAACTATTTTGGGGAATAGGACATGATGGTTTATGTGTTCCAGCACTCAGAGGCTGAGACAGGGGAATTCCAAGTTTGAAACCAGATATAGTGAGACCCTGTCACAAAAAATCCAACCCAAACCCAACCTGACCCAACCCAAATGAAAAAAAAAAAAAGACATCATATTGTGAATTAAAAAGAAGACTTAACATTGTATTTTTTATTTAGAGGTAATGATATCTTTTATTTTATAGTTTAAAAAGAAAATATCCCCCCACCCCAATTTGGTCTTTTTGAGACAGGGCCTCCCTGTAGCCTCAGCTGGCCTGGAGTTCAGCTGTACACCAGGCTGACCTTGAACTCACAGAGATCTGCCTGCCTCTACCTCCCAAGTGCTGGTATTAAAGGCATGCAACACCATGGCACACTTATAAAGATTTTAATAAAAATACTAATCAAACATAAAGAATCATGCTTCTAGTAAGGTTTTTCTCTAGAATCTATGACCTCTCCAGCCATTTGTATTTGACTTCTGTTTATAGTTCAGCACATAAGTTCCCTCCCATTGTGTGGGCCTTAAATTAACTAGAAAAAAACTAGAATATATTCCAAGAGAATGAAAACAAGATCAATAAGGAAGTCAATCCAAGAAATGAAAATAGAATTCAAGAAAGAATTCCCAGAGAAAATCCAAATAGAAATAATGTTAGAAATGAAAAACTCATTTAAGTCAAATAAAATTCTTAGAGGAAAGCCTCACCAATAAAATGGATCATGGAGAAAACAAAGAATCAGGACTGGAAGACAAGCCAGAGGGATTGGATCACTCAGTAAAGGTCAACAATAAATTAAAAAAACAAACAAACAAAAAAACAGTACATGGGAGAGCTCTGCGACACCATGAAAAGACCTAACTTTTAAATGGGAATACAATAAGAGTATCATAGCAAAGTCATAGAGAATACTTCCAATAAAACTGTAGAGGAAAATTTCCCAAACATAGAGATGCCCATTCAGATAAAAGAGGCCAATATAGCACCAAATAGACAGGGCCAAAAAAGAAATTTCCATTACATATTATAGTTAAATCAATAAAAGCACAGAAGAATATTAAAAGATGCAAGAAAGGTCAAATCACTTATAAAGACGATAATCAGAACAACATCTGATTATTCAACAGAAACTATGAAAGCAAGAGGGGGCCTGAAAAGAAGTATTCCAAGGCCTGAAACATCACAATTGTCAACCCATACTATTATAGCCAGCAAAACTACCTATAAAAACTAAAGGAAAAATAAAGTTTCCAGGACAAAAAAATAGATTAAAGGAATTTATCAACACTAAGGTACTGAAGAGAATATTCTCATCCAAATAAAAGGATAAATACACACTCATGGGGAATAAACAGTTTCAGAACAGTTAATGCAAAGAGATCTAAGAAAACCCAACAAAATATCGAATGACAGGAATTAAGACACATCTTTCAACAATAATTCTGAATGTTAACAATTTCAATTCCCCAATAAAGAGACACAGACCAACAGATTTCCTAAATGTGAAAACATACCCTGATGTAACTGCAGGAGCCAAGAAAATAGATGTAAATCATGGGGATAAACTGGAAGGAGGAGCTCCAGAGAGTGGGATAGTAAGTGATGAGTGTTATTAAGGGGGAAACGGGAAGAATTTAACTGGAGAGGGAGTAGGGAGAGAGAGATAGGGGATAAATAAAGCTTAGATGGTGTAACAAACCAGAAAGAAATATGTTAGTTCAAAGTCCTACTGAAAAAAATAAATAAATACATGTGTACATGTGTATACCTGAAGGCCACATAACAAAAACCACAGTGCCAGGCAGGAGAAACCTCCCTCTGAGTTGTTGGTCAGGGTAGTCTAAGAGATCCCCAAAATAACATAGGCAATAGCCACAGCTCTTGATTGTATCCCAGAATTTGAAGGTTAAGACCTTACTGCTGAAGACAGGACACACTTCAGACACAGAACTTGGAGCAACTGAGCTTGAAATGACCTGGAAGCCTCCTCCCTGAAGCCTGGCTCGCATGGTATCAGAGGATACTATACAAGCTGCCAAGGAAGAAAACCAATCAATGGTCCTACATAGCTGTGAAGCCTAATAAACAACGACTAGCCTGGCAAAGCACCACCATTGGTGCAGTAGTGGCACTTTTATCTTGTTGGTAATCAAGAGCTCTCTAATAGGAATTAAGGCCCACACAATGGGAGGGAATTTATGTGTTGAACTGTAAACAGAAGTCAAATACAAATGGCTGGAGAGGTCATAGATTCTAGAGAAAAACCTTTTGCCACATCCCTAGACCAACATAATTTCTTTTTTATTTTGTATATAGGAATGTATCACTTGCATGTGTACACCTGTGTTGTACAATGTCCGCAGAGGTCAGAAGGTGTTGGATCCCCTGGAACATGGCTGTTAGCCACCATATAGGTGTTGGAACCCAGGTCCTCTACAAGAGCAGTCAGTGCTCTTAACTGCAGAGTCATCTCTCCAGTCTAGGCCAACATAATTTCTTGTGTTATTCTAAATATGCACTATCCTTTACAGACAAGTGTATTTCTCACCCCTTATCA